GAGAGTGGGTTTACTTTATTTCGTTTTGTGCTATAAATTTTAGAAACAATGTAAATGGGTTTACTTTATTTCGTTTTTATTTTATTAATTTCGGTATTATATAATTGGATTTCCGCAGTGGTATTTATGATTTTAAAAATTTTAATTGGGATTTTACATAATACATAATACAATTGGGATGTTACATAATACAATTCACTTCCAAGCTCAAATACAATTTTTACATGTTTCATTAATTGTTTATAATTTTCATTACTAACTTTCTGTATTTTGCTTTTATTTATTTTGGAATCCATGTACTCAATTATATAACCATTCTTAGTTCTGGTGAATTAAAAGATCAATTACCAGTTCTTCATACCTTTTTCTTCTACTGTTGGCCGATTTTGTGTTAAAATGAGATTAATTTATTACTTACTTTTAGCTAGAAGCCTAGAACCCGAAGGCAAGTGATAAGCATTATTGTTTGATTTCATGCTTTCTATGAAAAGCTTGCTGGACCTGAAAGGGAGAGAGAACTATCAGATACAGATGTCCAATCAGCAGTATGGGAGGTCTGTGGTGATACTGGAGCTTTACAATTGCTTGTTGATCTTCTTCGTGTGAAGTAAGTTCCAGGAATTACATAGCCATAACTACTGATAGGATTATGTTAATTATAAACTAAAATGAATTTTTCCCTACTCCTAATCTGCATGCCTGTTATTGCCACTTGGTTTCTGCAAATGATGCTTTAATCTCTTTTAATTCATCATTTCATTTTGAGTGAATAAGGACACTACAACATCAACATTGATGATGTTATGTGCCATGCCTAACTGATTTCAATGCATTCAAGGATGATGAATCTTGAAGAGAGTTCCGGAACAGATGAAGATGACCTTGATTTACTCAGGAAAGCCCTTATTATTGATGACCAGGAAGATAGCAAACAATGCACGAGCAACTTAAGGTAGAAATTAGTATACTTGATTTTAGTATTCATATATGCCTTAATTATTAGGGATGACTCTGATGCCTATCTTTTTTCAAGGGTACAGGCAGTTAAACTGAGTCGTCCATCATTTCAATGGCTTTTCAAATACTAAAAAAATATCATGAAAACAACTTATATGAAAATAGTTTAACTCTATTCCTTGTTTATTACAGAGACAACATATACATAAACATCTGTTTACTAAACACTTAAGTTGTTTATCTATACACCATTTCATTGTATTATTTGTCTTTCCCAAAATTTCAGCACAAAGATAAATGACTCTGAGGAGCCAAAGTTGATGACTAGAAACAAGTGGTCTGCTATAGTATATCGGCGTGGACAGAAACAGCTAACAAGGTTATTCCTGCAAGAAGCAGAACATGCTTTGCAGTTATCACTGAATGAAGAAGAGGTGACTTCTTGCTAACTATGTCACATTGTTTAGTCCTATTTTCCCACTTTCATCTTAACCAATGGTTACTCTTTTCGTTGAGTAATTCTTAAATAGGTCAAGTGCCTATAGACACAACACAACTAATCAATACCTCGAGTTAGATTAAAATAATTGTAAACACTTTATTCACTCAAGAATTGCTCCATCTATGTTCTACACTTTATTCATTTTTATTGGTTTACACAATTCATTCTTTACTTCTTTTAACTCTATAAAAGTAATAAATTTAGAACTGTCTAACTGCAGACCTTTAAAAGTGTAATCAGTTAAAAAAAAACTACGAATTTATCTGCTTAATTTGATAGAAAATCATTAATTTTTTAAACATACTAGTTTGATAACTACTGACACATCAGAACGGAAAAATGACGCACGATAAAGAGGTAATAAAAAACCGTAATCTTGAATCTGTTTGAGTGAAATGCATAGCAAGAATGTAACAGTTTTGGTCAAAAGTTATCAGTAACATGTTCTCCCTAACACAGTAGCTAACTCAAGAGGATGGGTTTGCAAGTTGGACAACCATTGCACATCAAAACTTATATTTAACGATCATAAAATAAATTAATTACACATTTAACATTCAATCTTTATGTTTGTAACAACATTTTACTGTTTTCTGCACTGAAGGTTACCCGTTTCAGTCTTTGAACTATGCAGTTTTAATTTTTTAGTCTTCATATTTATTGTATCTTTTCGTCATTTTTTTTTGTACGGTAGTGTTAGTTAAGAGAGTCAAGGAACATTGATCACTACAAAAATAAAATTATAAATACATGGAAGTATAATGTGTAATTTTAAGTAAGTATAAAGATTAAAACATAAAATGGGAAAGTATAAGACTCAAATTAGTAATTTAATTTTTGCAAAAGTTTAACTAAAAGAAGGAATATAGAAGTTTGTGACATTTTGTGATCCAGGACTCTGGTTTTCTCTGTAACACGTCTGAAGGGTAAGATTTTTGCTATTAAATTAATGATGGAAGATGCTTTTTGGCACATTGATAATGAAAGCTATCCTATGATAAAATAAGCATCGTTTCTTTGCTGAATATAGAAAATACGCATTGTGCCTTACAATCATGCATATTTCTGAATTCGAGTTTAGTATTACAAGCAAGATAATATAAAGATATTTGAGAAAACTATTTATAATTAAGTCTCGTAATTTTTTTTAATATTTAAAACTATGATGGTGTTATAACTAATTAAAAACAAATTTAAACACCGAAAATAAGACTAAGTTGATTTTAAGAAGGATGCAATTTTATAAACTTATATCTTAAAAGAGAATGAATGAAGCATTACTCTATTATCATTCTCAAGAATGAATGAAGTTTTTTTTTTATTATATAAAATTTGGTAAAGATTAGTATTGGGTGGAAAAAGAATTATAGGCCCATATGCAGAAATTCAACTAAAGATATTGCCTTATCATAAGTAACATTTTGAGAAAGGTTAGCTAAGAGCTTGAACAAATAGCAAGTTCATAAACTATTCCAAAATATAAATATTAAACCTATGTACCAGTATGAAAACTACATTTATCCAAAAAAAAAAGTGTTGTCAGATCCATTCAATTCAACTATAGTTATTCATCAACTCTCTAATCCTGTCACATGCTTAAGCATCCATCCTACTAAATAAGCAGCAGCTGCAGCTATGGAACCACTGAAAAGTGTGACAGCCACAGAGAACATCATGTTTTGGCCAGCAATCCTTGCCTTTGCCACCCCAAGAAGAGCAAGGGCAAGTGCAGAAGCTAGGCAAGCACTAACAAACTTGATAGAGTCATTGTCTGTGAATGGTATGAGGATAATGAAGGAGAGCAATGGAATTGAGCCAAAGAGCATGAAGGAGGCAAAGGTCACAAGGCCATTCTTCCATGGCTTCACTTCTTTGTCTGCTGGCAGCACTCCCTTGTCTGCCATCATTCTCTGGTCTACCATGATGTCCTTGTACTTTGTGAATATGTTCACAACCTTGCACCAAGTAGCACACTTCAGAAGCAAGTTTTGTTACAACCTTGCACCAAGTTAACATATAAAGAGTAAAGTTTTGATTGAGCTAAGTTTTGTTACAAATTTCTCCCCTTTAAAACTCTTTTTCTAACACACATTTTATCATTGCTTAAATTTATTGAAAACCACCAAACTAAGATAAAGTCATTTCATAAGATGTAAGACCTGTCAAAGAAATTTATTTTCAGTAAATTTTAACTGATAATAGTGTCTTCAAAAGAGTGTTTCTGGCATTTGTTTATAATACATGTACCAATAGTGTAAGTCTCTTATTGTGTATGATAACTTTGTTTTTATATTAGTTGAGTTGAAAGTAATATCTGTGATAGTTTCTAAAGGGTAGGTAGATAGTAAAAATTTTACACTTGGAAATGTATGTGAAACTCTAATTTTGTTTCAAATGGTAGTTTTTATCATGCATACCATACCATGGTTGCATCATTGCAGTCCATCCCAAGAGCTTGATAGTGATTAACTAACTCTGATTGCTCCTTTTTCCTTTGGTTGATGACATCCCATTCTGTCACTTTCCTTTCCTCAATGATCACTTCCTGCTCAGAGCTAGCAGACACAGAGTCCCCAAACCCCATTGATATTGCATCTGCCACAAGGTTTGAGAATCCAAGAACCAGCACATGCCCTGCAATTAGAGTGTAGCATATAAGTTAAAATAGCATTTATTCTATACATTGGCATCGATGGCATCACGATCTGTATCAGTGTTTCTGACAAACATATGTACAAATGCATACACAGTGACAAGAACCTTAGCCACACAACATAATCTCCTTGTGATTGGAATGCCTTAAGTCTTAAATTCAAATCCCATAATCTCCATTGTAAAAATTAATGTAATTTGTTGCGAAAAGGACAAGCTGCCATCATACAATCTTAGCACTAAAAATTTTAATGTGAAAAGGACCAAAGCTGCATTTAAATGCTGAAAATCTCGTTTACCTCCACCATCACATAATCAAGAGGTCTTTTATGCTCAGCTATTCAACAAGGAAACACAGGTGACAGTTGTTTAAAAGAAAATGAAATTTAAATGCATAATCTAAATGTGTTAACACATTTTAGATTTACTGTGATTAAAAGGCAAACAGATTCACTGATATTAAGCATCTACTGTTAAACATTAATTTTAAGCAGTTAAAAATGTAAAATAGTATTTACTATTGTAATGACACGTTAATATCACATCAATATTATGAATAATCATAAATTAACACAAACATGCATAAATTTATTTAATTAAACACTTGAATATTTATAACATTTAAGAGGATGTATGAGCTGATAACAACACATCTTGAGCTTGTGACCTCTGGGGATGATCTAGGTTCCATTTCAAGATTATATATCCTTAGAGTGATTACCAACTTAAAGGATCAACATTTGTAAAAGTATCTCAAAATTTCACCAAAATATCAAATACCCTAATGACAGTTAAAAGAAAAAATGACATAAATACCAGAGGATCTAGTGCTAGCATTGATGGAAGAGATGAGAGAAAAGCAAGTGATAATGGCATCAAGCCCTGCAAAAACTATGCTCTTTACATATTCTCCTTTCCAAGGCTCTCTTGGTCTCTCACTACTCTTTCTGTCTGAGTCACCACCGTCCTCCGCCGCTGTCTGGAGGAGCCTTGTGGTGGTGCCACCACTGCTGTCACCTATTTCACCCATTAAAAATCACGCCTTTTTTTTTGTATTTGTTTTGGAACTTTGTGGTGTGTATCAGAGTGGTAAAAAATATTGAAGTTGTTTTTCACTCTAGTTTTGATAGTGATGATTCAGGTGAGAAAGGTTGAATTGGTGTCACTATGCATGCAATTGCAGAAACACGTTGGCAATGAGTGGATTTGTTTTTCATTGTTTGATTGACACGTTTCCATGATGATTCATCACCACATTCCCACCGTTTCATCTTCAACAACACTTATCTTCTTCTGCAAACTACTGTAGAAAACCACACCTGTTATTTATTTCGTTATAATAGCTCTTTCGGCTTTTCAGAATAATACTCAAACTTAAAGTAAACTACAAATTTAATTATTAAAATTGTAAGTTGAAAATTAATTAAATAATAAAGT